GGAGGTTGTTGTAGATGGAGTTCAATAAAAGTGGATTAATGCCACAAGTGGGGTACCTCAAGGCTTAGTGTTAGAAATTTTGCTCTTTTTGAGTTACATCAATGATATGCGTGTAGGAATGGTCAATAAATTGCTTAATATGCTGATTATATTAAGATATTGAGTGTTGTTGACTGTAAGGAATATGATTTATTATTTGGTGTGTTGGGCAAAGAAATGGCAAACATCTTTTAATTATAAAAAATACAAGATAATGCACATGATTATCATAATGTAAATTAAGTATAATTTTGGTTGGAATAACATTGAAAGTATTATGATAGAAAAGGATCCTGGTGTTTTGGTTGATCAGCCTCTAAATCCAAACTGTTGTTAGTGAGTGGTAAATGGTATTTTACAGTGTATTTACAGAAATATTTAATACAAGATGTAACCATTTTATGTTATAAGTCACTGTTTAGGCCTCATTTCAAATATTGTGTTTAGTCTTGGACTCCTTACCTCAAGACAGGAATTGAATTGTTTGAAAGGATTCAAAGAAGGGGTACTAGGACAATATCTGGGATGAAACGGTTATAATTGTAAACACCAATTTTGATTGATTTAATAAGAATTTCAGTTAAATGATTAGTTTACATTACACAAATCAATGTAAACACTGCTTGTTGGTAATCAATTATAATGATTTAATTGTTCAGCTCTATACTTGACAAAGCATAAATACTGACTGATATATAGATTCAGTACAAAAGGCCATGGAGTTAATATAACGTTAGGGGACAATATGGCACCTATTCGTCTATCTCGTCTGTTCCATTCTATAAACTAAATTAAAATTATTTTATTTATAAAATCTTAAGGCCAGCCCTTATCATTCATATACTTATTAAGCTTTTTCTTAAACTCATTTAAATTTACTTCCTCTACAACATCCGAAGGGAACCCCTTCCAAAAGCCAACCACCCTGTTAGAAAAATGAAACTGTCTTAGCTGAAGATGACTCCTACCCTGCCAAAATCTATATTTGTGTCCCCAAGTCCTACTATTCTCACTGTTAAATATGAAAAGAAAATGCATCAATACTATTAATTCCTTTTACAATCTTAAAAACCTCAATCAGATCCCCCCTAACTCTATTTTTTCAAGAGAAAACAATTTCAGTGATTTCAGCCTATCCTCGTAAGACAAACCCTCCATCCCAGGCACTATTCTAGTAACCCTTCTCTGAACAATTCAATATCTTTCCTAAGGTAAGGAGCCCAAGACTGAACACAATATTCTAAATGTGGCCTAACCAGTGACCTGTACAATGAAATTATAACCTCTTTAGACTTGTATTCAATATTTCTGTA